ATTGTCGGTAATTTGCGGCCAGGGACCACCACGGTTGAATGCAATCTATTATTACATCGGTCCACCATGATGCGCTGTGGCTTTGCTATCTATGGCTACCATAATACGTTTGCCTCTCGTGCCATTTCTACCGGATATTGTAACGTTTGGGTCGTCAACTCGAAGACCTTGGAACATTCTGAAGTTAGAATTGCCAAGGTCCGAACTTCGTTTGCGCTGATCACTATACTAATATTCGAGATAACTAAGGTAATAATCTACGTAAACTATCATAGTAAGAGCCGATAATTGATTCTGATTTTAGACTGGAGATCTTTCGGATTGACAAACTATCAAGCTTATATTACCATGTTGTATTTTATGCGCGAGTAAAACGTTGCACAAGTACTGTGGCTTCAAGGATAACCAAGATCTTCGAGGTTTCAAAAGTTGTTAAACGTTCGCGACGTCGAATAACGATGCAGGAGAGCTGGTCGTGGCGCGTTTCGTCGAATCATCCTTCGGAAAAGAATATTTTACGGCCGTGCCGGGTCGTGGTGATTCCTTCGGCGAGTGTGACATGGTAGGCGGGGTTTTATAGAGGTAGTCTGTAAAGATTGGATTATGCCTCGTTGCTGCGATTAAGTGCTTAATTGAGTCTGATGTCATTTCAGGAATGATGTTGTTTATTGTGGCTTGTAATTGGGGTTGATTTCAGCGGGGCTGGATTTTTATAAGATAATTTCCCCGGGATATTATATCTTAGAGAAAACGCTTTTTATTTCCATCACTTTTAGTCTCATTTTTAAGGAGCGACTTGTCATTAACTGCGCAACAATCGACTTTCTAATTAACGCTTGCCAGGAGGAAACAATTAAATTCGTTTATCTTGTACGGCAAAACAATCGAAAGTAAAAGCGTACAATTACACTCGTTTTTCCTTTTTTTAAACAACAGCCTACGGCCATTTCTAGCTGAAATCGTAATTAAACGAGAACGAAAGTCGCGTACCGGTTGAAGCTGTCACCGTTGAATCACAGGCGTCGCGAAAATCGAAAGCAGCGAAAGTAATTCTCGTAGCGTGAACAATAGAAGGAATCTCGATCCTGATCTCGATTTCGTTCTGGAAAGCGACTCGTGTTTTTACTGTCAGTTTTCAAAAACTATCGAAGTACCTTGCGAATCATCGATTCGATCGCAGTCAGCCGGAATGTCGACGAATAAATTAGGAGACGAGTAAAACGTGAAAATCGTCCGGCTCGTTCCGCCTTGTCTTTAACGCCGATTATTATTTATTGTCCCGCTAAAGTGGCTCGAATTATTCTTCGACGTCTAGCCGAACGTTCCGCGTGCATGTGAGCGTATCACCGTAAACCAGATTCAAGATCAGGTTCAACAAGTTTGCTGGGAACATCAAAGTAGCATATAAATCTTGCTGCTTTCCACTTTACTTTCTTGGGGGCATTTGCAAAGATTTGCGATACGTTCACTGCGACCGACTTGCCGATCGAAAGTGAATCGCGGGAAACATTTACCTCAACATTTTTCTACGGATATTTTTGCAGAGAAATGTCGAATGACCCACAAGATTATTCAAATCTTTCAAATTTCTGGATCTGGAAAATTTCTCAGTGACGTATATGTCAATTGGGTTGATCAAGGTTCTCGTAGAAACTCTGAATTTTATTGCTAGATGAATTTTATTAGTAGTAGATTGATGTTTGTTCCAAAGTTCGGCAATTGAGAATTACATTGTGTGAGTTTCCAGCTGGTCGAGTGGAAGATTTAGCCTTTTTTTGCCTCGCATCACGTGCTCGGCCTTCCGAGCCGGTAGTTTCTTTTGGGTCGCTCTGTACGACAACGTGTATGCTGGCATTGAGTTATAGTCGTAGTAGAATAGAGCAACTAACCAACTAACCACGAGACGTCAGTAGGACAGTGAAAGGCGACCTAGACCAAGTCTCTCCGGCGCAACGCTGCTGGAACTTGACGAGGAACGCTCTTTTCGTTTACCTACGTGTCTGTGTGTCCAGGTGCTTCATTGTGTCTCCTCTCTTCTCCTTCATCGAAATTAGAACGAATCACCTACTTCAATCTTTCAATTTGTTCTGAATTATACTTTCAGACAGGATCAGTTCAATACACCGGCTCTATTTGGACACTTCTGTCATTTTTTTTATGAACTATGTAGTAGGAATTTTTCTAATAAATGATCTTAGGATCAGTACAATAAAGGAACACTAATACTTGGACATTTTTGTCATTTTTTATAAATTCATATGTAGTAGGAATTTTTTGAATAAATGATTGTGTGATTAGTATAATAAACCAGCACTAATAGATTGGTTGTATTTGGACACTTCTGTCATTTTTTTATGAACTCATATGTAGTATGAATTTTTTGGATAAATGATATTAGGATCAGTTCAATAAAGGGACACTGATAGACTGGTTGTATTTGGACATTTTTGTCATTTTTTATAAACTCATATGTAGTAGGAATTTTTTGAATAAATGATTGTATGATTAGTATAATAAACTGGCACTAATAGATTGGTTGTACTTGGACATATTTGTAATTTTCTATAAACTCATACATAGTACGAATTTTTCTAATAAATGATCTTAGGATGAGTATAATAAACCAGCACTAATAGATTGGTTGTACTTGGACATATTTGTCATTTTCTATAAACTCATACATAGTACGAATTTTTCTAATAAATGATCAAAGGATCAGTACAATAAACAGACACTAATAGATCATTTGTACCTTTGTCCTTTTGTATAAACTCATACTTACTGACACCAAAATGGCCTCCATAGAGATGTACACTACGGTCCACTAAAATAGCCTCTCATTTAACTATTTTATACTCAAGAATCCTTGATAATGCAACTTATAATTGAACCTAAATTTGAAGTAATTTTTGTGTCGTTCAATCTATAAGTGCGTCACGAGTGCGTCAGGGTACAAATTAAAAAATAATAGGAATAAATGAAGGGTATTAACGAGACTGTAGAATGAAAAGTAGAATGTAATAAGAAAGCGGCCTCTCGGGAAGCACGCACGTGGGTTCTCCGCGAGAACTCTTACGAGATATTTGAGTCCCCATTCAAGCCTACGGCAACATACCACGACAATTTATTACCGGAAATTTCTTTTCTCGTTGCATCATAGCTGGTTCCACGGGAGTCTATGAAATCCCGAACGAAATCAGAAATGTGAGAGGAATTTCCAATTGGCCTGCGCTCGATCGCCTGGAATTTCTTTGCTCTTTTCAAGCATTCATTAACGACCATAGAATCGGATTAACGATCCTTGATAATTATCGGGTACCTAATTAACACTAATTCTATAACGTAACTATGCTCGGATTAATGAAGAAATAAATAGTGATCGACGATTATTTGACTTTCATTATTTTGTTATGTACTCGGAGGAAGAATTTAGTCAGTCATGAAAATTAATTGAAAGAATATTCCCAAGGAATTAATCACGGAATAAAAACGTGGAGTCGGGACATTAAGCGAGCGATAAATCTCTAACAGGGAAACCAGAATTCCCGAACTAAAATTATCCTCCGTTAGCGATAAACAAATCGTTTCGTCTAAAATAACATACCTCCCTAAAATCCTACCGATCCACTTTTTGTACATGATAAATATTCATAAATTCGTTGAAAAAAGGCGTGAATCACGGACGAGAAAAATCTGAAGATTTTCACTTCGAACCGCCCGAAAAGGATTTACGTTCGACAAAAACGGATGGAAGTTTCACCATCGGAGAATCGATGCTCTTCTCGGTAGGCCCTTTCGATTTCGTTCTGATTGCAACCTCGTGTGTCGACATTGCCCTCCTTAACCGGCGAAAGTTCTCGGCTAATTGAACTTCTTAATCTTCTGGTTCCCTAATGGATCCTCTAACGATCGTAATATCCCGTGCTTTGTGACTCCATTTTTCGAAACTTCAATATTTAAAGAACACGTGGAATAAATCGACACGTGGAGAATAGACACGCGTTTGAACATTAACGGGTCAATGGCGCGCAGCGAAACGGCACCGTAAACACATTCGTATTCTTGGACAGTGTGTTTTTGGAGGTCGGTTACCGGCCGGCCAATTAACGTCCAAATAAAATCCGCTCGTGTACAGTTCTTCGGGTTTTATTATCATGCGCGAGACCATTCGACAGGAAGTTTCTTGCTCGAACGCTTCTCTCGAATCATTTCGCTCCCTAATGGAATCACGGTTCGATTTAAAATTCCTCGGAAATCGTTTCGTCTGATGTTTTGCTCCCAGAGATATTCTACGGGTTGAGAAAGGACTTTTGGTAACTAGGCTAATATATCGAAAAGTACCATACAAAAAGTAGCTTCAGAGAAGGTACTGGACTTTATCCACAAGAAAACTGAATCAAAATACAATGAAAAATACAACATTGAGGAAACAAATCGAATCTTTAACTGTCTGAACCTCGTCTGACATAAAGTGTCAGAATTCAAAACATTCTAGCTTTGAATGGAAGTTTGAATGGAGTGGAATTGCGATGACTTCCGGGTCACCCGTTGTATAGACCAGTCTACAGACTCCTACTCGCTGTCAGTGAAAACCGCATCGTTAGGATAGCCAGTGCAATGGAACGCAAGGGAAATGAGGAAAGTCGGGCACCGATGAAAGTGAGAGGATGCCGACTACAGGCTGTTTCAGTCGAATAGTTTCTTTTCTACGTGCACACTTTCTGATACTTAATTGTTCATGGGTGAACATGAAATTACATAGCAGCAGAAGTAATATGAGATCTACCTTTTCAATCTAGCTTTTCAAATTACCTTCTCAACATTTTGAAATAGACAAACCATGAACAAAACTTTAAAAACCATCGTCATAGCCACCGCCATAACTGGAATTTCAAGAAGGAACGACAGTTCCATCGATACCAATTTGCTATTAATTTGACCTTTCATATTTGAACAAAATCTAAGAAGAACTATAAAAATTTGTCCTCCATCTGTTTCAGGTTGACCGTTCGAATGCAAACCGTTTGAGCGGTCGCGAAGATCCTCTCACGAGGAAGAATCCCGGGTAGATGGTGAAAAAGGGTATACGAATAGGATCCGAAGAAGAGCGAGGCAAAATAGAGAAGGAACGTGCAACGTTGAAGGATATAATGGCAGGAGAGGACACGCAGATCCTGGCGAACGGAAACGTCGAAGCATTAACGATAATCCCACCGAAAATGGCGAATGGGAATGGCTTGATCTGCGGTAAACAACACAACAACAACGGGTCGATACCGAACGGGAAGTTGCACGAAATCGCTGGGACGGAGAACGGAAAGTTGATCATGTCTGACGAGAAGTCGAGTAGCCTTCACACGGAGTTCGATGACGCGGATGTGTCCTGCGGATGGGGACCGTGTCGACCCCACTGGCTCCAGTATTTCGCCACGAAGCAGGCGTTCTTGGTCACCTTCTGCATCACCTGGGTTCGTACTCCTTAAACAAGATCTCGGAATCTTATGATAGATTAAATATAATTTCTTCAAGGACTACATTTAATATATGATTTCATCGAGGTCTTACGCGTTTTAATTGCAGGTCCTTCAGGGCATGTACTTCACGTACTTCGTGTCGGTGATCACGACGATCGAGAAGCTGTTCCAGATTCAGTCGAAAACCACCGGTATCATAATGTCGGCGACGGAGATCGGTCAGATCGGTTCCTCTCTCCTGCTTACGTACTACGGAGGCCAAGGTCACCGGCCTAAGTGGATCGCTTGGGGCATGATCCTGTTCGCGGTGAGCTCGTTCACCTGCTCGATGCCCCATTTCATCTTCGGCGAACAGCTGATCCATCAGAACGAGATGTTTTTAAGCGGTGTCGGGCCGAGCGACAAGGCTGGCGATCCGAACAACACCGACCCGATACCTGCGTATCTTTGCAGGCTGCAGGATCGATTGGAGAACAGCACGCTCGACAGGTGATTATTTTTCAACCTCTCTTCTCAGTGTATAACGGCTTTTTATCACGAATCTTGTTTAAAGCTTGAACTCGTCCACCGCCCCGTCACACGTGAACACCACGAACGATTGCGAGGGTGACACTCTCACGAAACAGAGGATACAAAGCAAAATAACCACGGTGGTTCTGGCTATATTCTTCGTTTCCTTGCTGGGGGTCGGAATGGGGCAAACGGCGGTCTACACCCTTGGGATTCCTTACATCGATGACAATGTGGCCAGCAGAGAAAGCCCTCTGTATTTTGGTAAGCATCAAGTTTCAGCTCTGCTAATATGAGTAGCTAACTTTGTCTGCGTTTGTTATAGCGATCACCATCGGTGTCAGGATACTGGGGCCAGCGTTAGGGTTCATTCTGGGGTCAGTGTGTACCATGATTTACGCGGATCTGTCGGTAAATCCGCAGATCACGCCGACGGATCTGAGATGGGTCGGAGCCTGGTGGCTTGGTAAATACATTCACTATCAACTGGATACTTTGTACACTTTCAACTAGATATATTCACTTATGTTACTTCAGGAAACTTCATAACATTGTATCAAAGCTTGTTCAATTAATATACATACTTATGTCCACTTATATTCAATGAACTTCATAACATTGTATCAAAGTTTGTTCAATTAATATACATACTTATGTTCATTTATATTTAATGAACTTCATAACATTGTACCAAAGTTTCTTCAATTAACATACACACTTATGTTCACTTATATTTAATGAAGTTCATAACAATGTACCAAAGTTTTATCAATTAACATATATACTTATGTTCACTTATATTCAATGAGCTTCATAATATTGTACCAAAGTTTGTTCAATTAACATACACACTTATGTTCACTTATATTTAATGAACTTCATAACAATGTACCAAAGTTTTATCAATTAACATATATACTTATGTTCACTTATATTCAATGAGCTTCATAATATTGTACCAAAGTTTGTTCAATTAATATACATACTTATGTTCACTTATATTCAATGAACTTCATAATATTGTACCAAAGTTTGTTCAATTAACATACACACTTATGTTCACTTATATTCAATGAATTTCATAACATTGTACCAAAGTTTGTTCAATTAACATACATACTTATGTTCATTTATATTTAATGAACTTCATAACATTGTACCAAAGTTTCTTCAATTAACATACACACTTATGTTCACTTATATTTAATGAAGTTCATAACAATGTACCAAAGTTTTATCAATTAACATATATACTTATGTTCACTTATATTCAATGAGCTTCATAATATTGTACCAAAGTTTGTTCAATTAATATACATACTTATGTTCACTTATATTCAATGAGCTTCATAATATTGTACCAAAGTTTGTTCAATTAACATACATACTTATGTTCATTTATATTTAATGAACTTCATAACATTGTACCAAAGTTTCTTCAATTAATATACATACTTATATTCACTTATATTAAATGAATTTCATAACATTGTACCAAAGTTTGTTCAATTAACATACATGCTTATATTCACTTATATTCAATGAACTTCACAACAACGTACCAAAGTTGTTTCAATTAACATACATTCTGTGTTTCTGATAACCTGAAGTTTCTAATTGAGGAAAGAAGAAAAGAAAAGGCAAAATTGAATGTTACAGGTTTGGTGCTAATATCTGCGATGCTGATGTTGGTGAGCATAGGAATGTTCGCGTTCCCGACTCGGCTGCCTGCTAGCAGAACGCCACCGAAACGAGCGGACGCGAAAAAGCCTAGTCTCCGAGGTAAGCCCTGATTTATCGTGGCGACTCGAATTGTTCGTCAGAGAGGCCGGTGTTTAAGCTCCGGCTATCGGATCAGAGCGGTTTAATTTGATTTTATGGCTTCCCGTAAGCCGTTCCGCTTGCGCTCGTGTTTCGTGGCTGGCCCGTAAAATTGCCCGAGGAAGATTCGAGTAAGATAAAACTATTATCGGCCCGTAACCGTCTATTAATTCGGCTCTATTTGTTCTTGGACTAAAGTCTTTACGGTTCTCAAATTTTCAAAAGACGTGGACTATGTAGATAATATGAAAAGCAAACGTTTGATAAAAAATAATTACGTTTCCGTCGGAAATAGTATGGCGGGCCAATAAGTCGATCTTTGAAGCGTGAAGCTCGCAGTCAAGGTCAATGGCGAATTTAGGTTTCGCAGATCCGGCGTGTCTGCTCGTTCGATCGTGAACACGCAGTCCAACGCTTTCTGAAACACGGGCGAGCCCTTTTCTGGGAACCCTTTGCGCCTTGGGACAGCAGGGCGACCCTTCGCGTTTATTCTTGGTTCGCTTCGTTGAAACTCTCGATCGAAGGTCGTAACATCTGCAACTCCAGATTGATGGAAAACTACTAGTTTTTTTTAATATAAACATTACATCCTCTATTACATCAGAGGAGAATGGTCCGACCGACATCTGTCCAATATTTTCTCCCATACTTTTTACCCTTGACCGACAATGTAGCGGAATGTTGTTCCTGAAAGAGTCGACTGCTCAAAATGCGACACGAGTAGCATCGATAATGAAACGTACGTTCCAGTGCAGCACGTGCTCCGTTGCATCTCCCACGTTTCTTAAAAATAGCTCCGCACACATCATTTTTTATGATTCTCGATTACAAAAAGCGTATCGAAATTCAATAGAATCTGAAGAGCGTTACATTGACCGTGTAGCGACAAAGTTTCTCTCGAGAGAATCGTTCATTTCTCACTGCTCTCGGGCTCGCCAAAAACACAGCCGTGCATCCGGTCGTGAAGATACCTTCTTCGACAGAAACATTTCTTATTAACACTTTGACGGTGCATTCGTGACTTTGACGCTTAACTTGCTTCGTGCACTTTTTACACTGCTTCACCTTTAGATTGACAGTGTCGATTATAGCTTGTTAAGAATGACGCGTTGATGCGCGGCCATCTTGTCTGTTTGCGCCCATCTTGTTTAGCGTCTGTCTCAAACATCTTCTATAATTCTACTTTAAACATGTGTTATTGTTATTCAAAAATTCTTAAGTAACGTATGATGAAGTCTACTGACTGCTGCAAACAGACAAGTCTACTGATTGTTATAGAAAGACAAGTCTACTGACTGCTGCAGAAAGACAAGTCTACTAATTGTAATAGAAAGACAAGTCTACTGACTGCTTCAGAAAGACAAGTCTACTGATTGTTATAGAAAGACAAGTCTACTGACTGCTGCAGAAAGACAAGTCTACTGATTGTTATAGAAAGACAAGTTTACTGACTGCTGCAGAAAGACAAGTCTACTGATTGTTATAGAAAGACAAGTCTATTTTACAAATTAGATCATGAGGTTCGACGACTGCAAAAATAAAGTATCTACAAGTACATCACTCAGTAGACTTCCCAGTTACTCTACAGCAATTTTGCACAGCAACACCATGTCTAATAAAGTTGAATTTTAGAAGGTGAAGTGTTAATGTACATTCACTCCTGTTAAAAGACAAATCAATTTCATAAATTCGACCATGAGGTTGATAACAAAAATGAAGTTTCTACAAGTACATCACTCAGTAGACTTCCCCAGGTAGTCAGATAATTTTGAACAGCTATAAAGTCAAATTTTGGAAGATGTAAATGTAAGACGCCGTTAAAATCGTAGTTGGAAAAGGTGCGCAAGAGCCGTGTTGTAAGTTGCATATCTACTATGTTACGTCGCGCGTGTTATGTCCGAGGTGCACGTTGGTGCACGAGACAGCTGAGATAAGTCCTCTCCCCGTGAGGATCCAACGGAGAAGAAACAGGGCCGTATATGCACGCAGAAATGCACTCGGTCGCGCTCGCGCGTGCCTACCGAGCGCTATGCACGACGCGTGACCGTGAACTTGCCCCACCTAGTGCACCAGTCGGTCAGTCATCATTATTAACGCACACACACACGCGTGCTTCACGTACACCAATCCTTACTACTCCTACGTACGGTACACACGAGAAATCTGTGCTTTTCGGGACACCTTCAGTTTTATACTTTCGTGTTAAGTCGTTGATCTCGCTGACCCCCGTAAATTGCATAATCTCGTTCTTAACGCGTACTGCGGCTGTAAATTCACTTAAATTAATTATCTGCTGAAACTTTTTAGTCGGAAGATTATGAATCATTAATTCCTGTACGTAGTTAGGTTTATAATGGTAGACTGTGCAAGTAGACTGTCTTTTTTACTGTCTGTCCACTGTCTGTTTCTACTGCGAACTTTGAATACTGGTATTCAATCTTTTTACGAAGCTGTAATCCGAATGTTTTGTTTAAATTTTGCCCCTGAATAATCAAGGATTCTCTAGTTTCGAGTTACACAAAGGTTCAAGTTTCTCGTGAATAGTAGTCGAATTCTATGAGCTAGTTCTAGAAGGTGGTCAATTTTAAAATCGCCCGTTCTCGAAGTGTATCAGGTTTCGTAGGGGTTCGAGGGAAGCTGTGTTTGTCGAGTTTCGACTTTCTCGCGCTGCAGGCAGCGAAAAACTGGGGACATTTCAAGGCTCTTGCGCGTTTAGTTTTTCAATGGCTCACAAAAACGGTGAAATGTCACGAAGTTATTGGCGGTATCGTTCGATGGGAAACTTCCGCGTTCTCGTCACGAATACTAGAAAATTGCCTTAAAGGACGCTGCTGTCGAATCCAATGCACGCGATTCGCGGATTACTATTTCCTAGTCTGACATTCCTCTTCTAGACATTGCTCCATAATTGCTAACTTTCTCGAGGACTCTTTTTGATTCTCATTTAAACGTTAACAGATATACAACTAAAAAAAGGTTTTCACATTCAGTCTAATTTTTTGTTCTTCAAGAATTGTTTTTAATAAATTCATCCACTTCAAACATATTTAGTTTCTATTTTATTTGAACAAGCAATATTAAGATTAACAGATATGAAACTATAAAAAGTTTTTCACATTCAGTCCAATCTTTTGTCCTTTAAGAATTATTTTTAATAAATTCATTCACTTCAAACATACTTAGTTTCTATTTTATTTGAACAAGCAATATTAAGGTTAACAGATATGAAACTATAAAAAGTTTTTCACATTCAGTCCAATCTTTGGTCCTTCAAGAGTTGTTTTCAGTAAATTCATCCATTTTAAACATACTCAGCTTCTATTTTATTTAAACAACCTTATCAATGTTAACAGATACAAGTCTAAAAAAAATAGAAACCAAGTATGTTTGAAAAGGATGAATTTATTGAAAGCAACTCGAAGGACCAAAGATTTGACTGACCATGAAAAACTTTTCTGAAAGACATAACAGACTTGTCAGCCCCTCCTGAAGAAAAATAACGATTTAGGTCTGCAACACATTTGTCCAATTGACTCTATGTAAACAACTCAACATATTAACTCTGGGTAATTAAGATGGACCTGTAGATCCACAAATTTTTTGCTCATCACAATGAATAATTGTTAAAGCAGCACCCAATATGTCGATTTCAAAGACCAGTATAAATCAGCTTATAAAACCTAGGAGACTTTGAACAATCATAGTTGGTAATCATCCATAGTCACGAACATGGAAGAAGGAACGAGTTAGCGAGTTTCCACGAGAGGCCACCCTGTATGTTCTTTCTGCAGGGTTGTCGCGATAATACACGAAGCGCAATGTTAGTCACGTTTGTCTACTCATGGTCTGCTGGACTTCTCTATGCGGGGTTGCCACGACTCTAGACCGGCCTTCCTGGAAGCCTAGAGCAGTCCTAGGCATCTTTAATGTCAGTTTCCGAACCTCCTCTTCCTTGAATTTCCTATCGATGATTATATTTTTATGTAGCAACGTTCTGGGATTAATTTCGGATGTGGGTAATTATTGGTAAAAAACGGAGATAAATTTCATGTAAATCTACAGGTCGCGATACCTTGGCTCGCGTTGGCCTGCACGACGGCGTACTCGCTACACCTCGCCTTCTCTCTACCTGTTGCAGACTTCCCTAAAGCGGTGAAGAGGCTGTTGAAGAACGACATTCTTATGTTCCGGACGGCCAGCAGCGTGCTGCACATCCTACCGATCGCCGGCCTCTACACTTTCCTGCCAAAGTACCTTGAGAGCCAATTTCGCTTGCCAGCTCATCATGCGAACATGATCTCAGGTAATTTTCGCGAATAGACACGCGAGAACTCGCGTTCGATCCTCTTCAATTTACTTTGCAATCTAAACACTTTTAAAATTTCATATGCATTTTGTATTACACGATATTGTTTCTTAACATGACATCAAATTATTTTCTCACAACCTTCGAAGATATACCTTAGGTAATTATTGTAATTGAGTAGTATAACCTCGTGCTCACGTAACGTTTCGCAGAAAAAGACAATAGCAATTTCTATCGAATCAACTAGTCGTATAATCTTGAGTAGTATAAGCTAATTCGTATAAACTCTCGTACGAATTTCAAGCTAACGAGACGGCGTTTAATTAATGAAACATTGTCGTGACTATTTTGCATTTGTCGTTTGTCCGCAGGTGTCGGAGGTATTTTAGTAATGGGACTGGGTATTATAATTAGCGGAGTGTTTATCTTGAGGGCGAAGCCTAACGCCAGGTTCGTCGCAGCCTGGATCGCCTTCACAGCGGTTGTTTACGCGATCGGCATGGGTGTGCTCATGTTCATCGGTTGTCCTATGGACGATTTTGCTGGTCTCGTTTCGCATTCCGATGGGTAAGATTTCTTTTATGAAACATTTCTTATTTTCTAGCTTTAATTATAATTTTCTTCAATGAACATCTGTTCATGATCATGTTCAACAAAATTGACGATCATGTTCAACATAGTTCACAATCATGTTCAAAGTAGTTGAAGATCCTGTTCAAAATAGACGATGATCATGTTCAAAGTAGTTGAAGATCATGTTCGAAATAGTTGACGATCATGTTCAAAACAGTTCATGATCATGTTCACATCATTTCACGTTCATGTTCAAAATAGTTGAAGATCACGTTCAAAACAGTTCATGATCATGTTCACATCATTTTACGTTCATGTTCAAAATAGTTGAAGATCATGTTCAAAACAGTTCATGATCACGTTCACATCAGTTTACATTTATGTTCAAACTAGTTGAAGATCATGTTCAAAACAGTTCATGATCATGTTCACATCAGTTTCCATTCATGTTAAAACTAGTTGAGGATCATGTTCAAAACAGTTCATGATCATGTTCACATCAGTTTACAATCACGTTCAAAATAGTTGACCATCATGTTCTTAACAGTCCATCATCATGTTCACATCAGTTTACATTCATGTTCAAAACAGTTCATGATCTTGTTCAAAACAGTTCATGATCATGTTCACATCAGTTTCCATTCATGTTCAAAGTAGTTGAAGATCATGTTCAAAGCAGTTCATGATCATGTTCACATCAGTTTACATTCATGTTCAAAATAGTTGACGATCATGTTGAAAACAGTTCATGATCATGTTCAAAACAGTCCACGATCATGTTCACATCAGCTAACAATCACGTTCAAAATAATTAACAGAAATTATTTGTGTTGTTTTCTAGACTATCCAGCTTCGAACCGACCTGCGATGCCAGTTGCGATTGCGTCCGCAATAAGTTCAGTCCAATCTGCGGTGCCGATGGTAAAACTTACTTTTCTGCGTGTCACGCAGGCTGCTCGAATTATACCATCGTTGATGGCAAGGTTGCATCGGTGAGTATGATCCAGTAATTTGTAATGCATCATTACTGAACAAAGTCTTGAATAATCGCATCATCCTCGGAACCCGCCATATTGTTAAGAGTATATTGTTAATCTTAGCGGTTATAATTATATCATTTATTCTTATAATTATATCACTTATTCTTATAATTATATAATTTGTACCTGGAATTTCTTTATTCCTTAAATCGTACCCCATCGATGGGGTAACCTCTTGCAAATGTATCGATGATAAATGTAAAAAAGTAGCTACCTGAAATCGCATTTTCCGATTGTTGTTGCACACTCAATGACGTAACCGAATTGATATATAGCGCATTGGAACAACCACGGTAATTGTCGGTGACAGTCGCATGCAACTAGGCCAGAAATGTTTCGTTGTTCTACCATTTACGGACGAAATCGCATTATTCGCGTGGACGAAACAATGCTTCATTGATTGCGCAACAGCACAAGTCATTACTTTCGCAATTCAACTTGCTCGCGTCGAGCATTTCATTTTCAGTTGTTCGAATTTTGCTCTCGAATTCGCTCGATAAAAGTCCTCGCTAAATAACCTGTAAATTACTTTACAATCTCGATAATTCCACCCAGAGAAATTCTTGCGTCGATAAAATACTTTTAAAGCGTTAAGTAGTCTCCGTATAATCGTTCCGAGTATTATTTCGCTATAGCCAAGTTTATACGAATCTGGTAAGTAATATGTTAATGATCCAAGGATCGTTTCACGGGTTTTACAGTTTTACAACTGCCAGTGTATCGGGCCGAACGTAACGACACCGGAAACGCTGAGCACCGCGACGATCGGTTACTGCGCGCTCGAGTGCAGTAACTTTTGGGTTTATATGGTCCTGTTCTCCGTGTTCGTTTTCATCCATTCTACGAGCGAGGTGGGCTCCATGCTGCTGATTCTACGGTGCGTGGATCCACGGGACAAGGCTATGGCTTTGGGTCTCATACAGTTCGCCATCGGCCTGTTTGGTAATTATTTTCTTCCCGTTCCTTTAATTAGACGTTTATATCCCCGATCCGGCTACATTATGGGATTGCGAGTGCTTATAAAGGAGACAATGGCAAACGTACTGGCATGTTTAGAACCCCTCTCCAATAGAAACCGAAGAGATATTTGACGTTATTAGATTTCCTTACCTCCTCCATAAAATAGTATGATATTACCATTTTTAATAATCGGAATTAGTTTAACTACGGAAATAATCTTCCGATAATAAATTAATTTCCAACATAAATTTCTTGTAACCGTTCTTCTGATTCCAGGTAATGTCCCGTGTCCTATCGTTTATGGTGCTGTGGTGGACTCAGCCTGTCTCGTATGGGAATACGCTTGCGGCGAGCGAGGTGCTTGCTGGCTTTACGACTCCAATGTCTTTAGAATGTTCTATCACGGTACGGAGAAAAGAGATTTCAGAGCACTTTCCTATTTTTCACTCTTTTGTTAAGAACTCTTTTTCACTCTTTTGTCAAACACAAATTCGATACAGTAAAAGGAACTAATCCTTTCTGTTTGAAAAGTTCTGTTCTTTTTCCGACATACGTTGTACACCAGTTTATTGTATATATTTATATATCTCAATTGTATATTATATCCAAATTGTATATCTCAATTGTGATTTTATAATTAAAAGTAATTAATTACAATTTGAATATTGCAGGCACAACGGGTGGAATCCTGGTGCTGGCGTTCGTGGTGGACATAGTAGTGTGGTATAAAGCGGGCAGCATCAACTTCGTGGAGGAGCAGGAGGCGGAAGAGGGCACCGTGGAGGAGATGGCCACGCTGAAGTCCCAGGACGCGCAGGCAGTGGACAACGACTATTTGTGAAAGGAAGTCTCGGTCGACTTCGATGGGTATCGCATGAACCAGGCCTGAATGTTAGCGTCGGTGATCCGGGACGAAGCGTGACGTTCCTAACTGTTCCGAACTCGTTGCCAGTCGCAAGGCAGAAGATCGGCGTGTTACGTTTCGAGCCGTTTTAGAACCCGGTTAAATCACTAGACGAAGATACAGTAGGCATCGAGGACCGTCGACATCCCAGAACGAACGGCACAGGTGTCGCCTTTCAGAACTCGACAGAGTCCAGGACGATAAACGAAGCAGTGCTGGGTCACGGAAATGCCCGTAGTTTCCGAAGAGACTAGGGTTTGGAACGCGTGCATCGGAAGGGGATGAACGATGTTCTTCGAGCTTTCACTCAGGAAGATTTCCAAGAGATGATCAACGACGTTCTGTACGAGTTCAGACTGATCGGACAGAGTAAACACATGATTTTCGAAGATCAGTATACTAAAAATGGCAAGAATTTTTACGAGTCGTTCCATTCCATCGATCATCGCGAATTTGTCTTTGCTCGAAGAGTGTAAGAAGCTATCGCTCGAAATTAGCGTCTGTTTCGAAGAGGTTAAGCAAATTTCCGAAATTTTGCTAGAACATTAAGCGAGCGAGATTTGCTTTCTCTTACACGATCTGGGGAAGGAATTTCGGGAAGGATGCACCGTTCCCTCGGCGTTCGAGGTTCTCGGATCTCGGGTGAGCTTCTCTTAGGCACTACCGTCCGTGTTTCACTCTGCAAATACACCTAGACGTAGGCAAACAGTACGTACAAGCGAGGTATGCATGTGTATATCGATAACATCTCGTTGTTTGAATGGGGAAACGTAAACGAAGCGAGAATCAGAGAACGAATGAGAAATTACGAAGATACATAGGACATATTTTTAGACGATTTGACGATGAAACCGGGGAGTGAGAGAACAAGAGGTGTAACGTTAATTATTAAATATTAAACCATTACGATACAGTTAGGACAACGGAAAGACGAAGGATTAAAAACGATGAAACGCGAGTTAGAAGAGTTGTATTTTAATACGATACACTTTACACGCTCGAGAGACACTCTACCGTCTTGTGCTTTTAGTGCTTTCTGCGTTCATCGTTTTCGAATAGCTGATGACTCGTTAACTCTTTGGAGATAAAGCTGTATTCTGATTTCGTGAATGTTGCTCAAAGATATTCTGAAAGAAAACATTTCCTTCCGAATAAAATTTTCATTCTACTCATCTGCAAAGGGTTAAATAGCGTCTGGATGTAGAGCGATAGGTTTGAAGAGGAAACGCGTATTATTAGTCGCTGTAAAGTTAAAATTATTCGATTCAGGGGCATTGCTAATGTGTAATCGAACGGTGACGAGCTACTAAGCAACGGGTACGTTTAGAACCTTCATGCTAAGCCAAAGAAGCAAAATTACAAAAGTAAGATCAAAGATCTAGCAACGTATCTAGGTTCAGGCTGTATTCTTTTGATTGAAATTCGGTATTCTTTCTCACGTTGCTCAACTCTCGTCACCGTACATTTGGGTATATTTCAAAAAGTATTTGGCTGAGTCAAAATTGCTCCCCGCCAATTTGAAGAGGAATCTCTATATTCGAGTGTCTGAGCATATCGTTCAGTGCAGCAGCCGCAGAAATATGTAGCGCGAAAAGTTCTAAGGTGACTGTCAATTGGAAGAATCTTCCCGTATCTGCAATAAGTGCAAAAGTACTTCGAAAGCTTGAGGTTAAATGGGAAACGTTACATTTCTGCGGCTGTTGCACATCGTTCGAGAGAAAGATTATGTTTCAACTCTATGTTCGAAACACAGCTGTCCGGTTTTATCGATCTCGTCGAAGACAATTTAAAGCGAGGAAACGGGAAATATATTTTTGGAGAGTTTTATGTTTGAACATGGTTATATATTTCTCCGTCGATCCCAGAAACCGGAGAGCTGGTCCTAAAAATCGAGCGCGATTTCCGATGCGAGAGATCGAAAAAACGACGACGCATTTTATATTTACTTGAAAGTTACCATTAATGCGGTGATTTTAAAAGAGATCCTCGAATGACCCGATTTAATCCATCCGTCTTTTATTTCCATTCACGTTCTTTCGAGATTTTTTTTCTAAATTGAAATCCATACATCTCGAACACATCACTCGAATATCTTCTGGACTTGAATCTTGACCCTTTCATGATTTTAAATCGTGCGATTTTGAAAATGAAAGGGCATCGAAAGGGTTGAGCAGTTTGCGTAAATCATTGGTGCAGAGAATCGCATAGTGAAGCGAATGCGGCCTTCCGTGCTCCCGTTGATCTCCACCGAGAATTGTATTTTTGTATTCGAAGCGTAATCTATATTTTAAATCGATCACACAGGTCGTGTAGCACAGCACGTTGGAGCCGATTCACCCTCTGACACTATCGATCTCTCCAGTTTCCCCCATGTTGGCTTATTCGAGGGTAGTTATTCTCGAGATCAAATTATGTCCGATGAAATCAGTTTCGAGATAGTGGAAAGTTTTTTAATTTATTGCGAGGGTTGCCCCTATTTTGACCACGAGCAAACATGTTCGAATCCTGTTTTATTTCGAAGGTGTAGACGGTAACGTTTGCCTTTCCGCTCGATATTCTGTATATTACGTGTACGATAGAGCTGTAAATATAGGAGAGTACAATAATTGCCAAAATAATCATGGCGTGGAGCGAACAGAGTCTCAATGTCTATTCCGAGTGTTGCGCCGGTCAATGTTTCGGACGAACGATCCTCGACGATTTTTAACTATTTTCTGTCAGTTAAAAAATTTATGAAATCTGTGTTCGAACGAATTATGTTTACGTCTCGAGTCGTTTTCCGAAACGAATTGATCGCATTAGGTGAGAATTATCGCGACTCGATATTTAAGAACACTGCCCTCTCACTCTTACTGCCAAACGACAACCGAATAACTGCCAGACTTTACCATTTCTTTTGACCATCGCTTTTGCACTGTACGCTCAAAATTGAAGACTCGCTTGCATTTAAAACGAAGAACGGATCGATTATCCGACAATCCGGGTTTTTTATACTAAACGCATACATTCGTTCAGCATTTAATCGTCGCGTTGATTCTCATGATCGAACGAGTCGCGATCACTGGCGGAACACAGAATACCATAACAATTATATTTTAGTAAAGAAAAGAATTTATCGGTAACGTACTAGTAGGATAATCAACCGCGTCAGCGGCCACCGCGGTTTTACCTAATTATAACGGCGTAGTCCTTTAAGAGAACCATAATTGCTAGTCTTTAATCAACGACGTGCGCGCGTGTACATGCACGTCACAGCGGAATATACATATTATATATATTGGATGTTTTATGAACTTTGCTGTTGAAACAACTTTAACGTTTTCCCGAAAACAATTTCTCGATTGGAAGTTTCTTCTTTTTAAGGTTTTAAATTTGCGGTGCTGGTCACCCTCCTATCTGCACACCAAGAAGAAATATTTATTTCTACAAACCTAAAATGCATGAACAGTATCAAAATGTTAAAGTTGTTTCATCGTTACAACTACACACCTGCATGCGTGTGTGTATCAGGTGTAAGAAACGAGTCGATGTAAACGAACTGGGTCAGGGGGGGAAGCGAAGGAATAAGAAGGATATAATGCCATTTTTATGTATACATATATCGTACTAATGATTATTATAAATTTCTGTTTCATTAATATTATTCGTACTACGACTATTATGGTTTATTCTCGTTTTATCGACTATTGCTATTACTTGATATATAACGTTGTAATATGCGCTTTGATTTTTATACATAATATATATATATACTATATTAGATATACAGAGGGGGAGAGAGAGAGAAAACGATTACTTTGTAGCAATCGTAAGTGTATTTTGGTATAACGCACTGTATGCGTCTGTGTATGCGTGTAAATGTCACGAATTTTAATAATCGTGGAAAACGAATTTTATATTTCAATATCGTTGAGTTGTATGTATGTTTTATTTCTCTCTGTGCTTACTTTCTTTAGCTAGATATCGTGCTAACTGTTACTTTTACACAGACTTGCGCTCGTGTCGCTGTTCGTGAAACTTTCAGGTTGCTAATTATTAGATACAAAACCGTAGACACGCAATGATATTAATTATCGACTGTATCAAGTGTCAGATCTTAGTTTACATTCATTTTTAAAGAAATTTTCAACGAATTCTTAAGGTAGAGAGTTTTAAACTTGTCAGGTGAGGGGCAGCTTGTTCGCTGGCGGCCATCTTGTGTACCGGCGGCCATCTTGTTCGCTGACGGCCATCTTGTTCACTCAGATCAGTCTGTCGAAACCTTGCACCTATCAAAATGTTCTTTTAAAACTTTGTTCTTGAAAGAAATTATCTTTGTAACTGAAAGAAATTTGATGAACAGTGACAAGAGCGTAGGTGGCGAACGTAATTCCTCCTGGAAGATGTAACATACGAAATCAAGACTGTAAATAGGAAATAGCAGGCGTTCGATGGACCTCCACCTTAAGGTTCCCACCACTATTCCCGACGTTTAAGTGCCTATACAAAACCGGAATCGCGTCTATTCTCCTCCTTGAACCTTCGTTGTTCTAGTTTCTAGAAGTGGGTAAGATACTATTTTGACGGCAGACGCGAAATAGAACGTTTCCATGCTACTGCAATACACACACACATACACTCTTCGTTGTAGAACACCTTGAAAAACGAATCGAAAAAACCTGGTGACGAACGAACAAAAAAAAAAATGAGAAAAATAATAAAACGAAATAGAAAATGGAGTATATATATATTTACGATGAAAATCAGTGTTTAATGTTACGAGATAGAAACGTTAACGTTGCGTTCGTGCGACAGTAGTTTTGACGACGAACTTAGTAGCTCGTCATTCCCACTTTAATGAATATACGTATATAAATCTATAGATATACTACCATAGGTATATATGTTATTGTACGTAAAAAAAAGACGAAATAGTATTTTATCTAACTGCTAGTTTCACGTCACAACGGAACGAAAGTCGTTCACCCTTGGCAGATCTCAGGCGCTCTGACGAAACGAATGTGGATCGTTTATTTTGTTATTCGCGCATAAAAGTCAGCCTCGCTCGTTTCCGTCGGGGCGCGTCTTATCGTATGTACCCCAGTATCCGCGGATTTCGTCGAGAATCGATCGACGAAGCTGTAATATTTTTCAACGAGGATTTCTGTCGAATAAGCTTGCCTTGTTTTTTCCGTGTACCAATTAACCGACACCTTGAGTCTATGTTCTTCGAACGGTTGTTGAAGAACACTGTCTCGAGTAGAGAAGATCCTGAGCACAAAGTGTAAATGTACAAAACGTTCCCATAAAACGGAAAGTGCGTTGTTTGAAAAATGTAAAAATTGTTCGACAAAAATCCAGAATGGCACCCCTTCTATTCCCCGGTGATCGTACAAAGCGATCGATTCGAGACGGGAATCCGCGAAACTCGTTGCGTGTATATTAATTATAACAGAATATATATATAAATGAAAGATTAAATTAAATGAGATGAAATATATATATATACACACAGACACATACACAAAGGTACACAAAGCGTATCCGTGAAAAGGAACCTTGAGGTCGCGGCACGGGTCCTGGAAAACCGGAAGTACCGCGACGAAGTGAACCGATGATATTTTGTTGCGCGAAAGATGTCAATTTTTTCAAATAACACGAGAGAAAGAGAGAAGATAAAGAAACCCCCTTGCATCACCGTGTAACATACCTCTAGAACGGTTTCATAGTTTAATTAGCCTTCGGGTTATCGGTCGAAGATCGATATTTTTTTTCGAAACGGAAGAGAATACGAGGGTGAAGAAAAGATTAAGTGATTTCGATGCTTGGTAATCCGAGGGTTAAGACTGATTCAGCGATCATGCTGTAAGAAAGCCAGATTTCGAGCGTATTTTGTAATTATGCTATTATTATTATTATATTATTATTATATGATTATTATTAATATTATTATTGTTTGTAATTACGATTACTATCGAATTTGTTTTTAATAAACGGCAGGTGCCATGATTACGAATCTATCGCATATATTGTTTGTTCCTTCATTTTCCTGCATAAATTAGATTTAACTCTTCGTCATTTTACAATTAGATGTCTTATTTTTAGTGACAAAATTTATTTAGAAATTTTTGTAGAAACTTTTGTTAAACTAAAGTGTCATTGAAATTTATTAAGGCTTTAGCTATTGAAAGTATTAATAGCTACTAAAATTGAATTAGGTAATTTACTATTTCTTTATTTATTTTTTTATTTTAGTTTCACTTTAAATATAAATCATCAGAAGTTCGTAAGACTAGTGTATAAATCAGTTTCAATTTTAATTTATTTTACGATTGTAAAGAGGTTAAAATAGAAGTACGATTCTCGTCAGTGACTAAACACTGTCCGAAAGCTTCTAGGAGTAAATTTTCCTCCAGCACAGCGACTTTGTAATCTTGAAAAGAGATTTTTCCATCGCGATCAACGTCCAGCTTCTTCAGCGCCATTTCGGATAAATCGCGGACGGCTTCGTCGGGGTCTTCCTCGCCTGGTTGCTTCATTAAAGAGTTCCTGATAGCAGAAATTAATATATAATACATAGTAATGTAATTAGATATTTTTGAATTTTTTTTGTTTTAGTATTTTCATGTCATTTTCTATGTCATCGACGCGGTAGAAGCAGCACTGTGTACCATATTTTAGTATTAAACAATTTTTAAAAGGTATTTCATGACTTTCTCCATATATTCCGATTCCTGAGACATTTTAAAGTAAATTATTATTAATATTTGATGCATATTAGTGCTGATTAAGCCCAAAAAATCGATAATTATGCAATTAGATCTGAAATAGTACACGTGGCGCCATCTAGCGGCGGAACACCTGAACTAAGCTAAAAAAACGTATGTCCGAACACGCATGTAATGACATAAAAAAAAAAATGAATATTTCGCCACTTTGACGACGTAATATGGTTCCTGAGGCATTTAGAAACAAATTTCTATTAGGGTTTGATGCGTTTTGATGCCGAATAAAGCCAGAAAATGAATTTTTGTCGAATTCGGTCGAAAACGGTACAGGTGGCGCCATCTAGCGGTGAGTGGCGGAACTACGAAAAACTAAAATTTCGATTTTCTCCGAAATTAGGTAATTTTATGCATTTCTGAGGGTCAGAAATTACTCTGTGGCCTCCCTAGAACCTATATAATATCATAAGAACCTCCTCAGAGCGCTAGAACAGAAAATAAAAAAATAGTGCAAAACATGGACCCGAAAATTGGCGTCCATCTAGCGGTGAAAGTTGGAACTACAAAAATATAAAATATCGATTTTCTCTAAAATTAGCGAATTTCCTGTACTTCTGAGGCTTAGAAAGTATTATGTGATCGCATTAGAAGCTTCCTAACGCAATAAAATCTTCCTAAAAGCTTTAATAAAGAAAATAAAAAAAATGTCATTTTATGGAGAAAATTTGTGGCGCCATCTAGCGGCAGAATACCTGAACTAAACTGGAAAAACGTATGTCCAAACACGCGTTAAGGAAAAATATAAAAAGTAATATTTCGGGAATTTGACGACGCAGTATGCTTCCTTAGACATTGTGAAGCAACTTTCGTTTAACAAGTTATTCATTTTTTTGCCTATTAAGTCCAGAAAATCAATTTTTATTTCACCCCTTAACGCGTGTTCGGACATACGTTTTTTCAGTGTAGTTCGTAGTTTCGCCGCTAGGTGGCGCCACAAATTTTCTCCATGAAATGACAATTTTTTTATTTTCTTTATTAAAGCTTTTAGGAAGATTTTATTGCGTTAGGAAGCTTCTAATGCGATCACATAATACTTTCTAAGCCTCAGAAGTACAGGAAATTCGCTAATTTTAGAGAAAATCGATATTTTATATTTTTGTAGTTCCAACTTTCACCGCTAGATGGACG